TCTAACCACAAATTTGCTACCCTTCATGTCACCGTGCTCATACGCATCGTAAGAATTTTTTATTTTTATTTTTATTATTATTATTATTATTTTTAACTATACTCTTCTCTCAATTTTTCGTCACACTACCTACCGACCACTCCTCCTACCTATAGGCATACGGGGAAACCCGCAGCATACCAGAGCCGTGTTATTACGGCCCCTCGAGCCTGCAGGATACCGGCCAGGGGACGGCCGGTAGCACCAGGGATAAAGCGGACCAATCCCCGTGCCTCCCCTCAGGCCCCTCCCCTATGAACATAGCAGACTCTGCTTGATGCCGATCGGGGGATCCAGTGGTCTATCTCTTGGGTAGCAGGTGCCAAGTAAGCCCAGGAAGTCATGAGGCCAATGGGGATTGAACCCATGACCTCCTGAATGCCACTTGCGAGCCTTACCAACTGAGCTAGGCCGCTGGATGCATCGTAAGATTCACAACGCATGACAAAAAAATAAAAAAAAAATAAAAAAAATAAAAAAAATTCGTGACGCATGTGATGACAACCAACATGTGATGAGAACAGTTTGGAAATTGTTCGGAAAGACTAAAGTCTTAACCAGCAAAGTTGTATACAGACGCATGGCGGCTACGGCCATCAATCAACATCGTCCTGGTATGAAGGCTCTCTCTCTCTCTCTCTCTCTCTCTCTCTCTCTCTCTCTCTCTCACACACACACACACACACACACACACACACACACACACATGCACGCACACACACACACACACGAATAGCATGTTGAATGCATGTTCTTTAAATCTGATATAGTGTTCTGAAATGATAAGCTATTTTCCCTTCTTCGTGTACAATTCCGAACTTGTCTTTGCTAAGTCCGCTTGAAGCCAATCAAAGGTGCTTCAAGCAAAGGTCATGCGATTATCGCATCAACCTTTAGCATCCATGGGTGCTACAACTGTGCTCTCTCTAGCTAAAGACATGGCGCCAGCACTCTCTCTCTCTCTCTCTCTCTCTCTCTCTCTCTCTCTCTCTCTCTCTCTCTCTCTCTCGTTTTCCCGTTTTCAATCCCTAAGTTGGCTGGTACGTAGCCTTCAACAGCTTAACCTTCTGATCAAGACTAGCGCTTTTTGGACACGTTTTAGGTGACGGAGTAGGTATTGGATCACTGAATGTGGCAAAACATTTTTTCAGTCACGGAGTAGGGAATCCATGGCGGTTCCAAAGTATCTTTTGAATCTGACACGGCCTGGTTTGAAATGCGACCTTGGATCTAGCACCTTCCCGGAGGCTCAGATTTTAGACCTCAGACGAGCCATGGAGCTTTCTATAGCAGCAGACCCTATACCTGGTGTAAGCCAGTTGGAACAGGCCCTTGACTTCGGATGTCAGGCCTACGATTTTGTGCACTTCATGGACTTCACACGCAGGATTGGCTGGCGCTCTCTCCATGTGTATATGAGCGCCGCTTCCCAGATCAATATCACTAGAAGATACAATCAAGCTTCCTCGTCTCTTTCTTTTTTTTTTTTTTTTTTTTTTTTTTTTTTTTTTCCCAACAACAAGGCTCCGTTCTATTGGTGGGGAGCAACACCTGCTGGAAACCGGGTCCAGCGTCCCATTATCCATGCAAGGCACAGATTACTCAGAATACTTAGACTGCCAGCATTGACTACCCCAAGCAAAAAAAGGGGAGGTATCCATGCAAGGCACAGATTACTCAGAATACTCAGACTGCCAGCATTGACTACCCCAAGCAAAAAAAGGGGGGTTAACTGAGCAGCAAATAAGGAACAGTTATGTACATTAGCGGAGTCCTCCCCTGGGGGCTCCATGGAGGAGTTCCATATGTGGGCATACATAGGTGTACATAATTATGTATATCTATGTGTGTATGCAGATGTATGTGGGTGTAAAGGAGACTGGGCTAAGTATTTTAACGTTCAGGACAGAGTCTCTGCCAGGGAAAGGGCATAAGGTGGGAAGAGGTCTGGGAAGTCCGAGGGAGGGAGTAGTGGGAACGAGGGTTCTATGTTTGTCCAGTCTTTGAAAACTAGACGGTAGTCTCTCATTTCTTCCAAATCACGCTGTCCCTCTCCCCTGTCTCCACTCCATTCCACTTTTGCAATCCATCCTTCTCTCTCCACTCCTACCCAATCTGTGCAAAATGCCGTAATCCGTTTCCTAACATCTCCAACTTGTTTAAAAAGGTCTAATTGTGATTTTGTGTCGGACTGTCTTTGTGTGAGTTCAAGATGCACCTGCTGCTGAATCTGTTCTGTGATCTCTTGACCCCTCTACTCTCACCTCCTCAATGGCCAAAGTGCACCTCTGCCACCAAAGTGCCCATATCACCGCCCTCCTTCCCAGTCTGTACATATTCTCTACGAAGGTCGTGGCTGCTCCTGCCAATGGCCAGTGCCCAGCCAATATGGCTTGCCATGACCAGGGCCAGCGAATGTCAGATTCCATTTTCCGCCATACTTGGTCCCACCATCTCCATATGAATTGGGCGATCAGGCATTGCATGAAAATATGTTCAATGGTCTCCGCCTTCTTATGGAAAGGGAATAGGCTCTGGCACCGTTCGCACCATGGAAGTAGCAGACCTCTTTGTTCTAGATTAGTACGGTCATTCAACCAGTCGTTGGTTGGCAAACAGCGGCGGGCAATCCACCACTGCAGGGAGGTGATTTTCACGGGCTTAGATTTTTGCTCCTTGAACCATTGGATCGGTGACAGGAGGGTGCGGTCCACATTTAGGTGTCTGGCCCATCGATCGTTAACCGTGTCCCTCAGGTGCTGTTTAGGTCTGAGCATTTTGTAGGCTGATTTGACCGACAACTGGTGCACGCAAATGTGACCAACTTTGGGGCCTTCCCTCCTTTGGGCAGCTTTCCATGTCCATTCTACTGGGTCCAGAGCCAGATCCCGGATTAGCTTGAATGGCTGGAACACCACCCTCTGTCCCTTCTCCTCTATAACTCTCACTTGGTACACATGCTTTCTCTTTCCATTCGAAGGGGGCTCTACTCCCTTGGAGGGTGCCCGCTCTGTTGATAGTGTAGTGTTCGGCCAGGACTGTTAGGGGTGAGACCATATGTACCTGGCCGATCCTCAGCGGGGTCTCTGCACTTGCCACCCAATCGCCTACTCTCAAGGTGCAAGCTTCCTCATCTCGACGTGTACAGAGAGCGATGACAACTGCCAGATTGCAACTCACAATGTGCTTCAGACGGAAGCTGATGCTGTTGCTATCTGAGATCGATGGAAACGCCCCGGCGCCCCTCTTTTCTCTTTTGCTCCCCCTTGTTTTCTCCTCTTCTCCTCCCTCCCCTTCCCCTCCCGATTTCCAGCGGGTGTTGCTCCCCACCACTGGATTTGAGCCACCCATGAACTACGACGGTATGGCTCTGGAACGTTTTTTTTCCTTCTTAAACCACCACTACCTTTCTCAGTGTTGGGAAAAACGGGAATGTACTTCACACCGCGTTTTTCGGGGGCATCGACGGGGCTTGGCAGTAGGGAAATCTTTGAGACTTGTGGGCCCGCGAATACAAAGGAAAAAAAGAAGAAAAAGAACAGAATGTAACTACTGGATTGACGTCGGGGAAGCACTTGCAGGACATTCAGCTCACACTAACACCACACGTAAGGTATCTAACAGCTATTATGTCTACATTCAGTTTCTTAGTGTGTTTTTTTTTTTTTTTTTTTTTTTCTTTGCCTGTCTTGTTTCCTTTTGACACCCTGCCACCAAGGCAGGGCGCACTCCACGGGTTGCTGACAGTTTTGCGGACGACACTACTACTATTGGAAGTGTATGAGCCCACTTTCCAGTCCAAAGGAGCGTTTCCCTTACTTTGTGGACCTGACAGTGGCCGCTGTAACGCCCTCACTGAGGGCCTACTCACACATTCTAGGCTGCAAGACGTATCTACCAGCCTAGTACCAGGCATTCTGTCCAAATAACTTTATCTTTTTCGTTTCTTTTTTTGGGGTGAATGTGACCCCGCCTCGGAATGTTCTTACTTTTTCATTTTGAATGCAATGCTGATTTTTTTATTTTTATTTCAGAGCACCAGAAAAGAGAATGCAATGGAACCCAAAGTATAAAATAATTCTGAATTACCCGGGGCCAGTCAGTTTGCAATGAACCACTTAGCTTCACACTCCAATCCTATGCACAGTGAGAGTTCACAACTTCACACAGAAACTCGCAGCGAAGTCAAGAGATGGAGAAACCAGATTAGCACAAGCTTAGAAAACCTCAAGGAATGATCATATTATACAAATTTAGAGTTCGAGCCACACAGAGCTCATTTAGCGCAATAGCCAGCAACTTCAATCAGATATGTAACTTGGTTCATCCCTCATGCAACCCTCTCTCTCTCTCTCTCTCTCTCTCTCTCTCTCTCTCTCTCTCTCTCTCTCTCTCTCTCTCTCTCTCCNCTCTCTCTCTCTCTCTCTCTCTCTCTCTCTCTCTCTCTCTCTCTCTCTCTCTCTCTCTCTCTCTCCGCTTGCACCAAACAACCTTACTATGTCCCTCTCTCTCTCTCTCTCTCTCTCTCTCTCTCTCTGGAACTCTCTCTGGAACTCTGGAACTCTCAACCTCTTCTAGTACCCTGGATACATCCGCCTTACCACTTGCGCTCTACTACTTCTCCTACCGCGGCTATGGCCACCTGTCTTCCACAGCTTAGCGCAGCCCAGCAGGGCTCCCTGGCGCTCAGTGAACTCGAGATAGCACACAGGCAGCCAACAGTGCTTCCACCTTCTCACGAGTGAACAATATGTCTGAAAGGAGCTGAGCTAGTCTTTTATGTTAACTGGATAGGGCCTTTGCTTGACTTGGTCTTTGCTTGACTTGGCCTGGGCCTGACTTTGACTGGTACCGGTGGTCCACGGCCTGTTTGCCTTTGGAATTTTGAGGCCCACTACCTTCCAGACTTTTCTTGGAGCGCTGCGTTGCTGAATTTGGACTGTGGGACTGGACTTCGAGGCCTATGGGGTACCGGTTGATTTGACTTGTGCGGCCTATGGCGTACCTGATGTTCAACCTCTTTTTGACTTATTTGAAAGACAGGTCCTGCCCTGCAATTTACATAAAATATACCATACATATATAATATATATATCGTCAAATATATATATATATAAATATTGAATAATATAACTGGTAAAAAACAAAACAAAAAAAACCTGGTATAATAACAACCTACTAATCTCGTAATATAAATTGTGCAACCCCTTGCTTTCACTATCACACAACACAACACAACACAAACTCCCTAAGAACCCCTTGCTTTACCTATCACACACCACAACACAACACAAACTCCCCAAGTTCCTGACTCCTCAAAGCTTGGCCTCGGAGGTGCGAGCCTCCTGTTGCTCGAGAAATACATTGTATAGAGCCCGATCGTTGCATCAAAAGCAGTCAACATTACCACTGAGGCACGGCAGCGTCGCCCTTGTGAATGCTTTGGCGTCCTCGTTGCTGCGACCGTCTCACACATTACTGAGAGCCCAAACTAGGAAATCACCGCTGAGGCATGGCAATGTCAACCCCTACTAATTTGGCTAACTAGGAAGTTGGAACACACCACTTTTGTATCTCCAAAATAACTTACCGCAAAGAGGATCAGCAGTCAGCAGGACAGCAGTTTGTGTCCATTATTTAAAAATTGCAGCAGCGCTTTTGGAAATTTCAACCCCAATCCCCACTGTTTGTTGACGCACAAAGTGCGACAGTTTATAGTCGCTGTTCTCTGGAGTCGTTCTCCTCAATTCACCTATCAACAGGGTTGCATTATTGCATACCCGCCGACCGCCGACCGATTTGCAGCCTACCGGTAGGGCCGAGTGGTCGGCGGTCTGCCGACCAGTCAGTAAACAGGGATCCACTGACTTTTTTAAAATCTGACTATGGGCATGTACTGTGCTTGCTCAGTACAGCCCAAACCCACTGCGAAACTTTTGGGGATGGGGGGAGGTGCGGAGGGGTTAGGGGGGGGGTTGGGGGGTATAGGAGTGATACAGGGGTATTGGGGGGGGGTGTTAGCGGTGTTGGGAGGGGGTATGGGGGTGTTGGTGGATTTATTGGGGGTTATGGACTCCCAAATATTTATTTATTTTTCAATATTTGTGCGGGATGCTGCCGACTGCCGACCAGTCGGCTGGTTGGCATCGGACCAATCGAGGGGTGCCGACCGTCTGCCTGTGCAACGCCGCCTATCAAACCTCATTCATTGCCTGTATCGTGGTTTTCCTCTCATCTCGAGACACCCGGAAGTGGCCATGCCTTATCAGGTGAAGCCCAAACTCCGCGATCAGAGGATTCGCTCTTCCACGAATTATAACCAGCCTGACTTTGGTGGCATTGACCACGTCTGGTAATCGATCGAGTTTTTTGTGACCGATCGTAGTCCCAGAGGACAGAGTCTGCCACTGTCCCGCCACAACTCCATTTGCCGACCTGCTCTCGTCAGGTCGTCCCACCACCCAAGCCTGAACCATATACTGGGCAACTCTTTGTCCCATTTGTATGGGTTCCTGTATACGAACCACGTTAAATTGAGTCGGGGACTGGAGATCAACTTCAAGTGTCCCTGCTGTCTCTCCCGCATCAGCTGCCCAATATGTCTCCAGATCGCCATCCACAGCCTTATGCGCACCAAAAGGGAACAAGCTGTCATTCTCTAACGACAGCAGCCGCAATCTTTGCACGTGCAACACAGCTGAGTCATCTGCGCCACGGTGCTCCAGGAACTCATCTGTACGAGGGCGTAACGCCGGTTCCATGCCAGACTCTTCCTCGTCGCCTGCACCACGGTGTATTGCCGATGGCCTGAGATTCTTCTTCCTTTGGCCTGCCATCGCTTGTTTCATGCGGATCGCAGCAGCTCTGTCTCCCCACACGCTGCTTGCATTCGCAGGCCTGCCTCGACAGAAATTGACGGAAAAGACCGACTTCAAAACCTCATGAACCTGGTATATCCCGGACACGTCCTCGAGATCAAGAAGTCCGTCTGGACGGACAGGGAGATTCAGTTGGAGGACACAGTTCCTGCCGACCGACGCAAAATAGATGTCAACAAGATTGATCAGGTTCTTCGGCCTGTCCCCTGCTTTCCAAAACCAGTTTGCTCGCATCGACACATCGCACTCAGCAGGACACCAGTCGGACCCATTCTCATCCCCTTGTGCCAGGTACTCCATTTTCTCCTCATTAGGACTTTCTGGTGTACCTGGTGTGAGCCGACTTCTGTCGATCATGGACCAGCAGGTATCACTCCCTTGGCCATTGGAGTTTCCAACCCATCGAATATCCGGCCCTGCGTCAGAGAAGATCTGTGCCATAGGCTGAAGCTGCCGATCAACGGCCCAGTATTTCCCATAGCTGTAAGGGTAGGTCTTGCCACTCCCCGTGTACCGCACTTCCGCAAATGGTCCATACGACGTCATGAGCTCTCTATGAAGCGCGATGAAGTACTCATTGTATCTTGAAACGTCGCCAAACCTGAGCTCATGATTGTCTTGGGGGCACAGATGGAGGCCAACCGCAACTCCAAGTTTCCCGCAAGAGTCTACCAGCTCTGCAACGATGTCCGCATTTCCAGACTGCCACGAGGCCGACTTGACGGAATAGGAAGTGTAGTTGCTTGGCCACAAGCAGAAGCCGTCTTCGGGTTTGGCGGTCAAAATAACTGTACGAAACCCACCCCTCACCGCCGCCTCTACCCATTGGGTAGTGTTCATTTGCAGTGGCGTGAACAATCTTGGCGAGTCGGCTCCATCTCCTAACCCAAATGTCTGCATGCCAAAATGAACCAACAGCGAAAGTTCCCGCCTATGCCATGCCAGCTGGCCTGCAGTTGGGATCGGGAGGATGGGAGACGGGGGCGGTACTTCCAGTCGCAACTCCCGCAAGCTGGAAGCAGAGAAGGAAGCAATTGCCGATGCTGAATCGAGCCCAGATGGCCTTGCCTTACGCCCTTTGCCACCAATTGATGATGCCAAAATTCCGGCGCCGGCTGCGTCGCCATAGATCACCAAAAGAATTACACAGATGCATGCAGTGAACCGGACAGTGAAAGCCCTCGGCATTGTTGCCGATTGGAAAGAAAGAGCCGGCGACTCGGCAGTCGATGCCCACACCACAAGCAGTGAGGCAACAATAGATAAAACCTAATCCACTCTCTGACAGACAAGAAGCAGAAGTGCCACGGCCGTGAAGTCAGTCTCGTACCACGGCCGTGAAGTCAGTCTCGTACCCATGCAGCAGTTGCGAAGCAGCAGCGCGGTTCAAACTCTTATATGCAGAGAAACAACCACAAATCGATAGCAATCATTACTGGCAAGCATGTATGGCTGGTTCACAAATTCCAGCATCACCACAAATCGAGAACAAGTCGTAGATAGCAAGCAAGTACGACTATGCATGGCTATGGCACAACCGCACGGGACATAGCAATGTCAGCCTCCAGAAGCGAAGCGCTGTCCCTCAGATCACCACAACAACCATCAGGCAAGTACAACTCTCTCTCTCTCTCTCTCTCTCTCTCTCTCTCTCTCTCTCTCTCTCTCTCTCTCTCTCTCTCTCTCTCTCTCTCTCTCTCTTCGCTTCCTTCTGTCTTTTCGCCTAGCAGAATGCAGGTAAATTCTTTTTCTTATCCCTGATTTTTTGTTACTTTTTCCTTTTACAGGAAATTTACCGCTTCATTAAATTTCCATATGGGATGCTGGGCCAGGTTCCCAGCACGTGCTGCTCCCCACGAATAGATTGGAGCCTTGTTCCCATTAAAAAAAAAAAAAGTCTGGAAACCGGGTCCAGCGCGTCCCTTACATATCAAGTACACACTACACACTACCGGTAGTGACCCTGAGTAAGCGGAATTAATTACATCCTTTAGTAGGCAACAAGGAAAGGATGTAACCGTCTTTTCGTTCCTTTTCCAGTCTTTTGGGCTTTTGGTACCCTAACCAATCCCATGTGTATTTATATTTCACCACAATTATGTGCAGGGCTTGCTACCTTGGCCAATCCCACAAAACTGGTGGTATAGGAACAAAAAGCAAGCAGGGGTAGAGCAGTGGGTAGTACATCCTCCCTTTTTGGAGATCCCCCTGCATACGCGTACGTGGAAGAAAGTCTGAGCATTCCCTCTCAGGTCACTGTCGTGGACTGACAGAAACAGTCGGTAAAAAAAACAAGGAATCCCAAATACCTTCTCCTATGCTTACTCTTATCCTGCTTTTTTTTTACTATTAAAAAAAAAAAAAAGAAAAAAAAAAAGGCCACCAGTACATCCGGGTGTGCAGGCCCCTTGCTGCTTGCCAAGGTTTTCCGAACCGCCAGCAGCGCACTTTTTCTGTTTTTTGGTTGACACCGCCGGCCATCGTGGTCTGGTGGGCCGAGCCTCCGAACTTTGTCATAGGCTACGAGTTTCTTTTTCAGTAGGGCTGGGGCCGTGTACTGGTGGTTTAGGCATCATATCCAAACCTTTTCTCCTTTTTTTCCCTTCTTCTTTTTTCCCCACAGAGGAAACTGGGGCCTCGCCGTGCAATATTTACTCAAAAGACGAGATGAGGAAGAAGACGCGGATCCTTCCGCTCTCGATCTCTGGCCCCAGGCTAACGAACCTATCACAACCACTTCTCACCTCGCTGGAGCACTGACAATCCCGGTCGCCACGTACCCAGCGCCAAACCCCAGCGTTCGTCACCCCATCCACCCAACTAGTATGCGGATTCGCCCAGATCCTGCAGTCCGTTGCAGCGATCCAGCGCGCAATCCCACAAAGGTGCAGCCGACTCGTCAGGATTTTTTTTTTTTTTTTTTTTTTTTTTGCAGCCGACTCGTCAGGATTTCCCGACCAACTGATCACCACCTCATCTAGCCACTACTCCAGCAGAGTTGGCAGATGCATTGCGAGAGAGCAAAAGCGACGCGCTTACGGGATTTATAGTCGCGAAGGAAGCAGAGGTGTGATGATGAGAGATACAAAGGAGAAGAGAGAGAAAGGAAGGGAAGGCACGTGGGAGGGCCATGTTGATCCCATCGGAGTGATCGTAGCCAATCAGATGACAGTGTGAGAAGTTCGGGAGCCTCCTTACACTGTCACCTGACTTCTACGGTCACTTGGGGATCAGCAGGGCCTTCTCTTGTGTACACGAAGGCAGGAAAGGAGGTCATGGGAGACAGCACAAGGCAAGTTCAGGATTCATCTGGATCAAGAAGAAGGAAAGGGGGTGCGAAGGGAGGGAGAAGACGACAGTTACAGCTTGCTGATAATGGCGCGAAGAAAGGGGGCTGGGAGCGCGAGGAGAGGTTGCATGCAAGAGCACAGCGCAAAAAGATGCATTCGTGTTAGATCGTAAAAGCAGCGAGACAGTTACGCGAAATGCCAGTGAAGATGCGCATGCATAATTCCTCAAGCCAAATTGAAATTGAAAAGTTCAAAATAAAGTTCCGGCCGCACGTGTGCTAAGGCGTGCAAATTCGTACGTCAATTCTTTTTTCTTTTTTTTTTTTTTGTTCTTCAGAAACTGCAGTTTTATTATATGAAAAATCAACGAGGTCAGGGATTCCTCAACATCTCAACCCGGACAATGCTGGGGCCATTACCCAGGTTATGCTTGTGCTGCTGGAAATCGGGTCCAGCATCCCAATGTCTGCAACTTCACTGAAAACAAAAAGCTGGACAATACTGAGCATGGCTTCAGAAAGGGTTTAGGGTTTAATGGGGTTTGGGACAATCCATGGGCTGCGATTAAAATGGCATACAATAGGGTGACAATACATAGGGGGGCTGCAAAATAGGGTASGTCCAATGGACAAGGATGCTCCAAGATRRGATGGGAAACACAAGCAGCTSCAAGGGAAAGCGGAGCTCCRGGTTTAGAAGYGAAAYGACCTTAGCCCTGCAAATGAACTATAAACTCTGTACTGCAAGATGTTCAAAGSGACGCTGGACCCGGTTTCCAGCAGGTGTCRCTCCCCACCAATAGATGGAGCAGCCCGACAGATAAGCCCTCAATTCTGACGGTTCTCTCACCACCGCCGGAATAGTGGGCTTACGCAGGGGCTATTCATTAAAAAAAAAAAAAAAAAAAAAAAGCTGGACAATTACAAATTTGAAATTTTAAAATACAAAAACAGAAAAAAAAGGAAACACTATGCTACTGTTGCCCTAGAAAATGTAACCAGACTAATGTTTAATAATTTAATAAATCAATTATAGTTTATCCTTAACCTTCTGCAGCATGCCCCTTTCCCTATTTTCTGTCTTTTTAACTCTTTTGCCTAATCCTCCACTACCCTCATAGGTCCAACGTGGATGAGTTGGTCTCCCCATCTAGACACCCCATCTGAAAATTTTGGTGTTGGTGTTGGCACTGTTGGTGTTGCAGTTTTCTGTAAATACATTTTTGACAAGTCCGCACTGTCCAAGGATCGAACACGTTCCCTGGTAGGGGTCCATGCTTTCTTCCTGCGCTGCCTCCTTGGCCCACTGTTCCCCCTCGCGGCTGTGCAGCCTGATGCGACTGCCGCTTTGGTCTCTGATTGACCGCCCATCGAAAGAATCTGCTTCTCTCAGCTCTCTTCACATCGCCGAATGGTCCATAGGGACTGAACTGTCTCACGACAGTCTAATTGTTATGCTGGCTGGTCACTAGCCATCCCGAGCCTGTTGTTGCTCGGTATACATCAACAGTCCAAGAGTCGTTAAATTAATTAATTTAATTTCTCTTTTTAATAGGTCAAAAGTGTCAGATTGTGAATTTGAAAACACTGGTTCAACTCCCATTGGAGTGTGACATCCTTGCAAGGAACCGCGCTTGAAAACAACCACTAAAATTATCACGGGGTAAGTACATTTCAATCACGATGGGTTTCAAATGGGCAAAAAAAAAACAAGGCCAGTTTCAAAAGGCTATCACGGCTTAAAAGGCGGGTTAAAGAGGGGACAAGATGGGCAGGATGCGAGATGAGCGATTAGACGTGTGGGCCTGGAAACGGTAGATCTGATAGGCGGCCTGAGGAATAGCAGGGGAGGCCGCCCCCCCGCCCGTCCCCGCAAGGGCCACACTGCTACGTGTCTCGGTGCTGCTAGCAAGGCTCCTGGCCAGCAGGATGGCCCCCTGAGAAAGGCCATGGTTTGGGGAGGGGGAGGGAGGGAAGGACCCCCTGTTGCAGTCCCCCCCCTTGTTAGGTGACTAGTACCACCGGGGTTAGGCTGTTCCCCTTCTCCGATCTGATCTCCCCCCTTCTCCGACCTGATCCCCCCCCCTTCTCCGGATGTACAAACATGCTTGCCGGTGATAAGCAACCGGACTGTTGCCCCCCAGAATAGAAGCGGGCCATTGTGTTTTAAGAAAAAAGATAAAAAAATGAAAAGGCGGTTCAAGCACGGCTGGACTTTTGAAAAGGCATGTCAGGTATTTTGCACCCTGGTGTGCAGAGTCCCGTTTCATGTCTTTTTTTTTGCCTTTTCAAAGTCGCGCCATGCTTGGATCGCCATTTCGTGTTTTTTTTGCCTTTTTTTTCTTTAACTCAAAACCTGACTCATCCACCACACTTGTTTCAACTATCAAATATGGAAGACAAAAAAAAAAACTCCAAGCACACTCACTGCCTCAGGTAGACAACCAGATGTCCATTATGGAACACAAGAAACTCCATGTCTTTTTTTTTTTTTTTTTTTTTTTTTTTTTTCCCCTCTAAGCCCAGGTTGGCATGGTCCCTGATGCTACTGGCTGTCCCCGAGCGGGTATCGCCCACCTGCAGGTCGGGAGCAGCCCCCGCATGTTCTCTCGTGAACACGGTTCTGGCTGGTATGGGGTTCCCCGTATGCCTACAATTAGGAGTAGTGGTAGGTAGGTAGTGTGAGGTGAAATTGAGAGAAGAACATAGCTTAAAAAAA